AAAAAAAACGGCTGATATTGATCAGCTTATATAAAAAAGCAGTGCCAAATGTCTTATTAAAGTTTTCTAGTAAATTAGTTTTTCTGTTTAACTATTATTTGTTTTTATTTTGTATTTATATTTATAAACACTTATAGTATACACTCGTAATTATATAAAATATATTATATTTTAAATTTTGTATTTTTGTTCTTATTTTGTGGCAATTTTGTAATTTTGTTGCAATTACATTATTCCCGCACTCAGTCAATAAATCTTTTGACTTAATTTTAGTTCAGACTTTGGAAAAAGCTTCAATTTTATTCGAAAAGAAAAATCAATTTATATTTATCATGGGTTGTACGACCGTAACATTTTTTTAAATTTTGTTCTTTATTTTAATTTTCTTAATGCGAAATGGTTAACTACATACAACTTCAAATTTTCATTATTATATAATAATCATTTTAGTAGTCCAATTATTTTTTATTTAGCTCGGTAATCGATCAATTAAATATTATCGTCTTCTTTGTTGAAATTTGATCAAGATTTTTGATTATTAAATTATATTAAGAAATGAAACCGCAATTAACTGTTGTAGACTCGATAATAATGTGAGTTTATTGATAACTCAATTTACAACGAAACTGATATTATATAAATTTTGATATCAATTTATTAGTCCGACAATTGATCGCAAACTAAAACCGAGAGACAATTTTTTCGATCGTGAAAACAATAATCTACTATAGCTTGCTAGATGCGATATTCGCATCAGCGTAGCTCCAAGTGTGCTGTGTAGTTTAGTCATCACATTGGCGTCATGAAATATAATTCATTCTGCGATATCACTCCCCTTAATGTTTCAAATTGTAGACATAATAAATTCCACGATATATCATGTTTTATATTTGGTTTAATTTATGTATGATTAGTATTGACAACACTATGTGTAATCATATTTATCATTTATAATATATAGTTAGAATTAGTTTATTTAAAATGAAAAGGAAAAGTTTTGAGAGTTATAATTTTGGAAAAGAGACTGGGAAGAAAAATAGAGAGATCCGAACTGATATTTTTACTTTTTGTTTTCTCAGTGCTGTCACTATGATGAGCCTATCTGTCAAGTAGAAATGCGATGTATATATATATATATATATATATATATATATATATATATATGTTAGAGAAGTTAGTTTTGATGTTGAGAAATATGAGTAAGTTCTTCAAGGGCATACATCAAATAAAAGGCAAAGATTTAGAAGTTAATCTTTAATTTTTCTTTTCTTTAATAGCTAGATAAATCTAGCTAGATAGAACAGCTAGATAGTTTATCTAGCTGTTAAGTATATTTGTTATTGTTATAATTATATTACTTATATCTATAGTTCTTTTTCCAATTTCTGTCAATTTTTCCCTAGTTTATATTAATTTTTCAATATTCATTCTGTAGATCCACTGATGATGACATAAAATACTATGTCGAAACGTTTGGAAAAATTAAAGATTAACTTCTAAATCTTTGCCTTTTATTTTGATGTATGCCCTTGAAGAACTTACTCATATATATATATATATATATATATATATAAATTACATGCGGCCCGCCATAAAAATTTGAAAACCAAATTGGCCCGTGGGTTAAAAAGGTTGCTCGCCCCTGTTCTAGTCCGTCCCGGATTTCATGTAAAAAAATGGTCACCTTAGCAATAGTAATAAACAATCCTGTATCCAATAATCAATTATCCCTTACCCAGGACCGTCTCTGGCGAAAAACAAGAAGCACCCTTACGAGCTCGCCAGATTGTATAGGAGTAGACGCCAATCGCAATTTTGGGTTTCATTGGAAAGAAGACGATAGCCATGCCAAACCTTGCGACGAGGACTATCCAGGAGACAAGCGTTTTCCGAACCAGAAACAAGGGCTTTAAGGGACCTAATGAAGGCACATAATGTACAATTGTATTTAACTTTGCACAGTTTCGGAAATTTCATCTTGTATCCTTACGGGTACACCTATGATGCGCCCGAAGGCTGGTGGGATTTGCAGGATATTGCTTTTGAAGCCGCTGGTGCTATAATGTGAGATAAAGGATTTATTTTAATCATCCTATTACTTCTCGTATGGTAGTTCTAGTAATGGGCCGAAAATCAAAAATGAATTTTTTTGCATTTCCCGAAGCCAATTTTGAAGGTTTCTGAACATTTAACTGGCATACCTCAGAAACTAAATGGATGTGTGTGTATATGTGTGTGTGTTTTGTATGTCCGCATTTTTTCGTCCACGTTTTCAGGCGCACGGATCATCCGATTTGAATGGTTTAAAAAACATTCGATCCTTATTGATAGGGAGATGTGCTGATTAGTTTTTGGCAAAGGCAGGTCCAACTGTTACGGAGATACGGAGCAAAGAGTGCAGAAAATACAAATCGAGTTTTTAAGAGAACGGAATATCGCATTTGAATGATCCAAAAAGCATTCAATTTGTAATAATTGGGAGAAGAGATGTTTAGTTTTTGGCAAAGGCAGGTCCCGCCATTTCGAAGACACAGAGCTAAATGTGCAAAAATGGCAGTTTTTGAGTGAACCAAGCGTCCGATTTGAATGATCTAAAAAACTTTCTGCAGCTGTTGACAAAACAATTGCTTTTGAGGATAAAAAATTTTAACATCTTTTTTTATTTTCCATAAAATATTTTTCTAATTTTGGATTAAAAATTCAAATAAATCAAAAAATCACCCAGGCTAAGTACAGTCTAAGCGCCACTCCGGTACAAATGTTTACCCAAGTGCGTTTAGACTGTCTATGTACTGGTGCACTTTTCCAATTTCGTGAGAAAACTATTGAAAAATGTGAAAATGCCGCCAAGCTAAGCACAGTCAAAGTAAAAATGTCGCACATAATTATTTACAAATGCGTTTAGACTGTGACTATACGGGAGCACTTTTTTGAATTTTGTGTAAATTAGGCAACTATTTTTTTTTTTTAACTTTCCGTAGAGTAAGTTATAGTAATGGGCCGAAAATCGAAAATGAAAATTTTTGCATTTCTCGACGTTTTAAAGGTTTCTGAACATTTTTAAGGGGCATACCTCAGAAACTAAATGAATGCGTGTGTGTATGTACGCATTTTTAGTATTAAAAAAGGGACTCTACTGACTAACAAACTAATTTAGAATTAAAAAAAGGAACTCTACTGACGAGCAAACTAATCTAGAATTAAAAAAAGGGACTCTACTGACTAGCAAACTAATCTAGAATTAAAAAAAGGACTCTACTGACGAGCAAACTTAATCTAGAATTAAAAAAGGGACTCTACTGACGAGCAAACTAATTTAGAAATAAAAAAGGGACTTTACTGACGAGCAAACTTAATCTAGAATTAAAAAAGGGACTCTACTGACGAGCAACCTAATTTAGTATTAAACAAGGTACTCTACTGACGAGCAAACTAATCTAGAATTAAAAAATGGACTCTACTGACGGGCAGACACAATCTAGAATTAAAAAAGGGACTCTACTGACGAGCAAACTAATTTAGAATTAAAAAAGGGACGAGCATAATTAATCTACAGTTAAAAAAGGGACTCTACTGACGAGCGGACGAGTATTTCAGTTTGCTCGTCAGTTCATATAATGCAGAATATAGTTTGCTTGTCAGTAGAGTCCTTTTTATTTTCATGTCTGGTAAAATACAGTTGATGATGAAAAATACTAAATGCAAAAATTCAAAAAATTACCCAGGCTAAGCACAGTCTAAGCGCCACTCTGGTACAAATGTTTACCCGAGTGCGTTTAGACTGTTTATGTTGTGGAGCACTTTTCCAATTTTGTGAAAACAACTATTGAAAAATATGAAAATGCCGCCAAGCTAAACACAGTATAAGTGAAAATGTTGTACAGAATTGTTTGCAAATGCGTTTAGACTGTGACTATACGAAATAATAATAAATATTGAAATTGAATTCGAAATGAAATGACGATTGTTAATGTTCTGGAGATAAATTGATTTATGATTTACATTTGATTTGCTCAGATATAACAAACAAGATACGGCAAAAATAATGAAAGTTACAGCATTTGTAATACCACGTTTAAAATTTCTCAAATATTTCATTATAGCACGGGGAAAGTTCCAGCAATTCGCCTTGAGGCACGATGCCCTAATTGCCTTAAGACATAATTCCACTTACAGCTAGTTTCATTATCTTTTCCAGGGAGCACCATGGTCCTTCCTACACAACGGGCAGTTCCTCAGCAGTCCTTTATCCTGCTGCAGGAGGCAGTGATGACTATGCATATGGAGCAGCAGGTTTAAAGTTTGCTTTTACAATCGAGTTACCAAAAGGCGGTGATACCGGTTTTGATCCTGAACCCAAAGATATGATGAAGATCTTCGAGGAGACCATGTTCGGGTTCAGGGTTATTGTCCGGATGGCCGGTGAACACTTTTGAAAGTAATAAAGAATTTTTTTTAAGCATGTTTTGTTTTTGTTTTAATGCGAACTGTAGATTTTATGCGTGAAGTGAAGCTTTTTAGGGTAGGATTGGATAATGAAGTTTTTGGATGCAAATAAGGATTGCATTAGTTAAATCTAAACAAGGTGCCGAAGGTAAAGTAAGAGATAGAAATAGTGAAAATCAGAATTAATTTTAAAGAGAGATATAGAAAAATAGATGCATTATGTGCAATAGAGACATTCAGGTGTATAGTATAAAGAAAGACTAGATATTTACACTTAGAGATAGAGACATAATACGAGATAGAGTGATACAAAGAGAGCTAGTCAGAATGCAAAATGAAGAAATACATTTACAGACAGAGACAAAATGAAATATATAATAAAAAATATAATGTATTAGTATTCGCTACAAAAGTTTTGCAGGTTACATGTTTTGAACGGTTTTTCAATAAAATTTGACATTCTAATATTGTTTGCCATATAATTATAATAATATATAATGCTTGTGTGTGTTTTTTTTTTAAAAATCATTTTCTACTCGTCTAGACCTTTCAAACGATACCCCATATGCCATAAAAGATACAATCTAAATTTTTTGAAGTAAAACTTCTTTAAGCTCGTTTACTAGAAATTCATTAAAAAATTAAATTGATTGACTGTACTAATATATAATGCTTGTGGGTTTTTCGGAAATCGTTTTCTACTCGTCGAGACCTTTCAAACGATACCCCACATGCCATAAAAGATACAATCTAAATTTTTTGAAGTAAAACTTCTTTAAACTCTACTAGAAATTCATTAAAAAATTAAATTGATTGACTGTACTAATATATAATGCTTGTGGGTTTATCGGAAATCGTTTTCTACTCGTCGAGACCTTTCAAACGATACCCCACATGCCATAAAAGATACAATCTAAATTTTTTGAAGTAAAACTTCTTTAAGCTCCTTTTTTAGAAATTCAATAAAAAATTAAATTGATTGACTGTACTAATATATAATGCTTGTGGGTTTTTCGGAAATCGTTTCCTACTCGTCGAGACCTTTCAAACGATACCCCATATGCCATAAAAGATACAATCTAAATTTTTTGAAGTAAAACTTCTTTAAGCTCGTTTACTAGAAATTCATTAAAAAATTAAATTGATTGAATGTACTAATATATAATGCTTGTGGGTTTTTCGGAAATCGTTTCCTACTCGTCGAGACCTTTCAAACGATACCCCATATGCCATAAAAGATACAATCTAAATTTTTTGAAGTAAAACTTCTTTAAACTCGTTCACTAGAAATTCATTAAAAAATTAAATTGATTGACTGTACTAATATATAATGCTTGTGGGTTTTTCGGAAATCGTTTCCTACTCGTCGAGACCTTTCAAACGATACCCCATATGCCATAAAAGATACAATCTAAATTTTTTGAAGTAAAACTTCTTTAAGCTCGTTTTCTAGAAATTCATTAAAAAATTAAATTGATTGACTGTACTAATATATAATGCTTGTGGGTTTTTCGGAAATCGTTTCCTACTCGTCGAGACCTTTCAAACGATACCCCATATGCCATAAAAGATACAATCTAAATTTTTTGAAGTAAAACTTCTTTAAGCTCGTTTTCTAGAAATTCATTAAAAAATTAAATTGATTGACTGTACTAATATATAATGCTTGTGGGTTTTTCGGAAATCGTTTCTACTCGTCGAGACCTTTCAAACGATACCCCACATGCATAAAAGATACAATCTAAATTTTTGAAGTAAAACTTCTTTAAGCTCGTTTTCTAGAAATTCATTAAAAAATTAAATTGATTGACTGTACTAATATATAATGCTTGTGGGTTTTTCGGAAATCGTTTCCTACTCGTCGAGACCTTTCAAACGATACCCCACATGCCATAAAAGATACAATCTAAATTTTTTGAAGTAAAACTTCTTTAAGCTCCTTTTTTAGAAATTCAATAAAAAATTAAATTGATTGACTGTACTAATATATAATGCTTGTGGGTTTTTCGGAAATCGTTTCCTACTCGTCGAGACCTTTCAAACGATACCCCATATGCCATAAAAGATACAATCTAAATTTTTTGAAGTAAAACTTCTTTAAGCTCGTTTACTAGAAATTCATTAAAAAATTAAATTGATTGACTGTACTAATATATAATGCTTGTGGGTTTTTCGGAAATCGTTTTCTACTCGTCGAGACCTTTCAAACGATACCCCATATGCCATAAAAGATACAATCTAAATTTTTTGAAGTAAAACTTCTTTAAACTCGTTCACTAGAAATTCATTAAAAAATTAAATTGATTGACTGTACTAATATATAATGCTTGTGGGTTTTTCGGAAATCGTTTCCTACTCGTCGAGACCTTTCAAACGATACCCCATATGCCATAAAAGATACAATCTAAATTTTTTGAAGTAAAACTTCTTTAAGCTCGTTTACTAGAAATTCATTAAAAAATTAAATTGATTGACTGTACTAATATATAATGCTTGTGGGTTTTTCGGAAATCGTTTCCTACTCGTCGAGACCTTTCAAACGATACCCCATATGCCATAAAAGATACAATCTAAATTTTTTGAAGTAAAACTTCTTTAAGCTCGTTTTCTAGAAATTCATTAAAAAATTAAATTGATTGACTGTACTAATATATAATGCTTGTGGGTTTTTCGGAAATCGTTTCCTACTCGTCGAGACCTTTCAAACGATACCCCATATGCCATAAAAGATACAATCTAAATTTTTTGAAGTAAAACTTCTTTAAGCTCGTTTTCTAGAAATTCATTAAAAAATTAAATTGATTGACTGTACTAATATATAATGCTTGTGGGTTTTTCGGAAATCGTTTTCTACTCGTCGAGACCTTTCAAACGATACCCCATATGTCATAAAAGATACAATCTAAATTTTTTGAAGTAAAACTTCTTTGAGCTCGTTTACTAGAAATTCATTAAAAGACTGTATTTCGTAGACAAATGACCTATTTAATTTCAGTATTTGTTGTTTCAAGTCGTTCTGAATCGTTTGGCACCAAAATTTATATAACTTTGTGTATTTAGTTGTGCTAATTTATTTTCTTTAAATTGTTTTTACATAATAAATATAATGATGGTCCTTAGAACATCGAAAATGAAAAATTTTGCATTCCTCGACGTTTTGAAGGTTTCTGAACATTTTACTGGCGTACCTCAGAAACTAAATAGATGTGTGTGTGTGTGTGTTCTGTATGTCCGCATATTTTCGTCCACGTTTGCGTGCGCACGGATCAACCGATTTGAATGGTTCAAAAAACATTCGATCCCTATTGATAGGGAAAAGAGCTGATTAGTTTTTAGCAAAGGCAGATCCAGCCGTTACGGAGATACGGAGCAAAGAGTGCAGAAAACACAAATCGAGTTTTTGAGAAAACGGATCATCCGATATGTATGATGCAAAAAACATTCAGTTCGTAATGACGGGGAAAAGTGGTTATTAGTTTTTGGCAAAGGCAGGCCTAACGATTTCGGAGATACAGAGCTAAATGTGCAAAAATTGGCAGTTTTTCAGTGAACTAAGCGTCCTTTGATTTGAATGATCTCAAAAACTTTCTGCTTGTTTCAACAAAATAATTGCTTTTGGGAAAAAAACATTTCTAATTTCAAATTTCAAACGTTTCTAATTTTTTTTTCGAAAAATACTTTTGTAATTTTTGATTGAAAATTCAAAAAATTACCCAGGCTAAGCACAGTCTAAGCGCCACCCTGGTACAAATGTTTACCCAAGTGCGTTTAGACTGTTTGTGTACTGGAACACTTTTCCAATTTTATGTGAAAACTATTTAAAAATGTGACAAATCATCACATAAGGGGTATAGTAAGATATCACGTGTATTTATTTTTCTCTTGAATTTTTTTTTTCAAAGAAAAAACAAAAATTTTACTTATTTTTGTAACTAAAAATACACGTGATGCTTGCTGGGGGGGGGTGGAGGTTAATTTTGAATATCATCAAGGGAGAGGGGAGGGTCTAAAAATCCTTAAAAAGTCGATCACGTGATTAATGGATGTCTCTTATATAATTCAGAAATAATAATTATAAACTTTACAATTCAGTTTATATATTTTTTTATGAATATGAGATAAACTCCTGCATTCTAACTTTGCTAGATTAAGTTTTGCTTAATTACTCTTCAACAGTCCGGTCGTGGCGAAGATCGTTAACGCGTTGACTCTGTGTGGATAGGGTCGCGAGTTCGAATCCCCGCTCTGGAAATCTGAAATCGGGTATTTTCAATTGTAACTATAGATAAAAGTATATATTTCCAATTGAAAATAAACCCATACCGGGGGGTTCCACTGCTCTGTGAAATGGAAATGGAAAAATCTCTTTGTCAGCCAATTTGTAAGCTCTTATATTTTATCTATAAAATACGCATAATTAAAGTTACTGTATTTATAATAATATATTTGAAAACATTTAAAATTCCTGGAATATTTTTCTTACCTATCCAGCAATCCTGAATTTTATTTTTTAGTCTATAATTCCTATGTTTTACATTTTTTATATCTGTATTTTTATGTAATAGGGAATAAAAGCAGTATTTTATACTGCTCCTGAGAGGAGGCTCCTGCAGCAGATTTAATAAAACCAGAAATGTTGGTGAAACATTTTGCACATTTTAATGAACAGTAAAAAAAACTGGAAAATTTACTGCCTTGGACACAGAGTTAAAGGTATCTTTAGAAGTGAGTATTTTTTATATAATATATATAATATATATATATATATATATATATATATAGTTAGAAAAATAAATCACACAATTATATACATTTTACACATTAACTTTGAATTTACTTACATTACATAAAATTTACACGAAATGTTCAGAATTACATTGACGTTCATAGAATACTAGCAAATGTATTGAAAAGATGAATCATAAACTTCAACATTTTGAACATTTTGTTCTATTTTATGTTTTAATAATTTAAATTAAACTAAAAATGCTTAGTTGAGCATAATCACAAAAATCTTTCTCTACTAGAATGCATTCATGTTCAACGTATTATTAAATTAATAAATAAATTATAGCAGGAACAAACAAGCATAAGAATGCATTTATATAAACAAACAACCACACAAAGCCTCACAAATAGATGTCTATGTCCCTACAGATCTCTCATTCAATTGTAATAAGTGTAGCAGCTAATTTTAGTTTTCTTTCATTAAAATGAATCTTTGCATTATTTCTATATTTGATTCTGATACTGTAGGTCCAGATATACTTGATTGTAGTTTTATAAGTTGGAATTTTATTAGCTGTAAAAAACTAGAAAATTTGCAGAGTTAAAGGCACTTT